GAGTTTCCCCTCTACAGTTTTTGTGGCCAAGTTCTTTAACTTTCCCCCAGCTCAGCTGAGGATGTCAGAACTGGGGTTCCCTATAAATACTCTCAGCCTGGGCTGGGGGGAACAAACCAAAAGGGCACAGAAACCATGGAGCTGCTCCAGCCAGGGAGAAACGTCTGTCATTAATGTAGTGGGAAAATTACACGTTTATATGGCCCCCCCAAACACAAGAGCAGACATCCATTTCCTGCAGGGCCGTGGACGCCTGCCAGCCCACAAATAAATCACAAAACCACAAAGCCAGCAAGGAGGAAAAAAAAGGGGAATTATCACAGAGGATGCAGAAGCCTTTTGTACTAGGAAAATCACCAGCGTCTCCACCAGACATCTATTGTTTATCAATAATATTCCCTGATGCTTCCCACCCTTTGGGACTGAGATGGGGAGGGATATTCAAGCAGAACAACAGAGGTCTCCTTGGATTTTGCAAACTCCAAAGGTACAGCCAAGGGGTGGCTTGGGAGATGCACTGACCTGCCCCAGAGGCATTTGTGGGACCAAACCCAAACAAACCCACAGCAAACCTGATATTAAATAGGTTTTGGCATGGGTGCAAAGATGGAATAAACTCAAAGTTGCCAACTTTCCTCCAGGAAGAGGGTGTCTGGAGGAGGGCAGGGATGGAGCACTCAATGGTCTGGCAGCACCTCCAGAAGGATCATATCCAGTGATGCTGGAGATTAAGAGAACAAACAATTTCAGTGAGGACTTGCAGTCCTACTCCTACGCATTTTCCCTCCCCTTGCCTGTCCCCATGGAGGTTTAACGGCCTGGGCCCCCACTTCACAGCACCCTGGAGTCACTGAGAGCCTCTCCACTGCCTTCCAGCTGCCTTTGGCTCCAGCAGAGGGATCATGACAGCAGCTTTACAGCTTCCCCCGTGGCCCGTGAAGCTGGGCTGTGTCAGCACCAGGGGACTGGAGGAGAAGGTCCATTAGTGGGGTTCTGAAGGGCAGTTCCTGTTTTCTGCACCACCCAGGGCTTGTAAAGGAACCATGGGTGGATGCCATGCTTCCCAGGATATATTGTGGCTACAGAAACCCTGACAAATGTATCAGCACTCCCAAGTGGGTTTTTTCTTTTCCACTCTGAGCTGAAGTACTTTAGGGGGCACCCAAAACCATCCTGTGCTGCTCACAGGGAAGCCTCTCCACCACCTCTATCCCTGCCACAGGAACACTGAATCTCATGGATTGCAAGGGACCCTAAAGGCCATCCAGTTCCAACTAGACCAGGTTGCCAGGTTGCTCCCAGCCCCTTCCCACCAGGATGAGGTGGGTTTATCTCCCCAGACCTCCTGATTTCACTGCCTGGACACCAAACCTACACAAGAACCAGAGGTCCCACGACCAGGGATAGCTGTGAAGAAATTCCTCCCCTCTTCCAGGTGTGCCCATCCCAAATCCTCAGCCCTCCTGCTCTTACCCTGCAGTGGGGAAGCAAAGTCAGGGAATAGAGTAAAATGCTTCCCTGCACCTCAGGCACTTCAGTTTTTCCTTTCCTTCCTTGGCCTGCTTTAAAAAACCCCAAAAAAACAACCCACCAAAAAATAGAGAGAGAGAAAGAAATTGTGTTTATTCACACACACAACAGTGAAACATTTGTTTAGGAGAAAATCTCACTGATTCTTGGCTGTTGTTCCAGATGCAGGGAGAACAGCAGCCCTTAATGTCTGCCTGCTCCTCAGTGATTCGTGCTTTTGTGCTTTGAACAACGTTCCCAATTCTGATAAAGGTATTAGTGCATTTCTTGGGCTGAATTATAAATTATGAGATGCAAACCCATCTATTTATGCACTTCAGTGCTGAGAACTTACATGCAAAACAAGACACTCAAGCTCTCAAAGTTCCCACAGCAGCTCTCTCCACTCTGCACAGACAAAGCACCCAAATTTTTTGGCTGTGTTTATGAGGGACACATTTCAGGGATTAGGGCAGGAATAGACATCTCCTGGATTTTTCCACAGCTCGGAGCAGTGGCTCCTGCAGCAATATGCTCTGAGCTGGGTCCAGGGCAAGCTCCCTCTTGAGCTCAGCATGACCAAAGATAAGGACATTCAGGATAAGCACATCTGGAAGTGGCTCCCTAGCTGCAAAGAAATGCTTATGAACACAATCTTTTAGGGTACAAATTGAGCAAAACTAAAATGTAGCAAGCACAGATTCGAGTTCTCATTTGGGGAAGGAGGGGAGGGAAAAGCTGTCCCCAAAGCAAAGCATGCCCAGCACTGCAAACAGCAGATTAATCCTTTGTTATTTGTGTTTCCACTTCCTTTTAACCAAAAGAATCACAGAATCATTAAGGTTGGGAAAGGCCTCTAAGATCATCAAGTCTAACTGTGAATTCAAGAGCACAAAAGCATTTCTCTGAGCACCACATCCACATGCCTTTTGAACATTTCCAGCATTGGTGCCCCTGGGCAGCCTGGTCCAATATTTGACTAACTTTCCAGTGGGGAGATTTCCCCCACTTTCCACTCTAAACCTCACCAGGCACAACCTGGGGCCATTCCCTCTTGTTCTATCCCTTGAACTCTAGAGCCTTGCCCAGCTCTGTTCCCTTCTCAGGACACTCATCCCAACAACACGGTGGAAGAACAGGAAAGGGAGCTGCACTACCCCAGGGCACAGCTTTTCCTCTTCATTTTTACAAAGAGGAAGGAAACAAAACACATGTGAAAAAAAAAAAAAAAAACCTAAAAAAATGTTTAGGCTAATCCTAAACTGAAAGTTTATATCCCTTAGTTAGATTTCAAAAAACAAAGTTTGTTTGGCTCAAAGTCAAATGTTTAATTTGACCTAAAAGCTTTAACTTTGCTTGAAGTTTCTTAGAATCTTAGAAATCAGAGGACTGACCAGCTCATTTTAAAAAAGGAAAATAATAAAGCACTCTCCCCATCAGGGTTTGAGGCAGGTGACAACAATAAGCAGTGATAAAAGAGCAGCAGTCTGTGTTCACAGAAAATGCCTCAGCTTGCCCATGTGCCCACAAGGATGCATCAGTTCATGTTGTCAAAACTGCCCTATTTAAAAATAATAATACTTAAATGTTCCCTCAGCCAAATGGAAAGAGGGGGTGATGCCTGGGCAGGAAATGGAGCCAAGTGTCCCAGCCAGGACTGCTGAAGTGTCCTGAGGAGGGAGGGCCAGATGCCATGTCCTGCTCTTGTTCTGCACCATGAAGTGGCTGCTGTGGCCCTGGGAGCTCACACTGAGCCTGCACTGTGCAGTCACAGCAGCCCTGACCCAGAGGGGAGAGCCAGGCCTGTTTTTCAGGACAAGCCTCTGTGGCCATGGCTCTACTTCATCTCCCCCTCTGCATTCTGCTTTGAAGCCGCTGCAGCATCCCAGAGATCAGCTCATCGCTTCCCCACCACTCCCTGAATCCTGATGGAATACCATCAGTGTTCCTCAGAAATTGCTGTGTGAGTGCATACACTCGCCTGTAGCTCCAGCTGACAGGAGGAGCTCATTGTGCTTGGGTTTAGGAACACTTTGGAAAAGCTTAGAGCCCATCTCCCGTCCATTTCATACAATCATAGAACCACTAAACTTGGACAAGTCCTCCATCAAGCCCAGAATGGTGTCTTTCCTTCTCTGTTTCCAAGAACTGAGATTTCCCTTCATTTGAGACTTCTCTAACAAACCAAAAACACATATTCACCCTCACTAGCAGCTTGCTGGTGTATTTTTCCAGGCTCTCAGTGCTCAGTGCCGGCGGCTCCACATGGAAGCTCCAGCAGGCTCCAGGAGCAGGCTCTGGGCAGTGGAATTCTTGCCTGACACACGGCAGCTCCAGCAGGCTCCAGGAGCAGGCTCTGGGCAGTGGAATTCTTGCCTGACACACGGCAGCTCCAGCAGGCTCCAGGAGCAAGCTCTGGGCAGTGGAAGTCTTGCCTGACACACAGTTTTTGGGGGCAGCCACCTGAGCCTGCTGTGTCTGAGACCATTGCCCTAAATTCTTGCTGCTCCTCTCCATTTTCCCAGCCACGACCTGATCCCAGGGGGAAGTCCACATTCCCTGCAGCTTCTTCCACTGCCCAAGGAAGCCTCGGGAGAACAGCAGCTTTTTTTGTGCTGCTACCCTCTGGATCAGAAGAATACTCCTGAACTTTAGCCTGGCTCTTGCTCCTAGCCTGTCTCTGAGGCTTTGATCCAAGGAAGCCTCTCGACACGTTCCCCTCACTGTGCTGGGGAATTCAGCACTGCAGTATCTTGCATTGCAGATTATTTTTAGGGATGATCCAATTGAGACTGATAAAAATAAGAAAGGAGCTGGAGAATCTTTGCTGGAGCTGACTGCAAGATGCTGTGGCTTACCAGAGCCTCACAGCCAGAGTGGGATTCCTAATTTAACAGCACATCCCAGAACAGATCAAGGGTTTATCCACAGGGCTCAATGGCCCAGTTGTGCTCCCACCAGCACCCCACAGGACAAAAAACAGGGATCACCACAGATAAACACAGATACATGCATGCCAAAATACCCAAATCACATCCAAATTTAGTTTCAAAGTTGAGGAAACATCACTTATAGCTGCCAAGGAGATCCTAAGCAATAGTGGCCAGCCAGCCAGGTGATGCACTGCTGAATTTCACTGAAAGCCCTTAAAAATTATTATCAAATCTTTAATAAACTCAGTTGGGCTGTGCAACCACAGCCCTCACCATGTGGCTCTCAACTGAAGAGATGAACAGAAAGCAGTGAGACATCTCCCTGTGGCATATGCCCAGACCCCAGAAAGTGTTTGGGGCAAAATTCCAGAGCACAGTAAAGGACAAAAACTGATTTTTTTTTTTCTTTTAACTGATGTGAAGAAACAGGATTTGCTCTCAACTGGTTGGTCAGTATTGCCTGGGGAAAGAAAGTAAAAAAAAAAAAAAAAAAAAAAAAAACCACCCTCATGAGATGACATGTCAAAACCAGTCACATAGAGGTATTTATTTTTTTAAGAAGGGACTTTTCCCTTTTTTTTTTTTGGTTGATTATTGCCAACAGTATTTTAACATCTGCTGTGCCTGCTGACCTACCACATTTACCCTACTTACACTAATTAAACTTTAATTAAGCTTGCTAGATGTTCATCTAACATCAAAAGTAAGGTAAAGGCTTTGCCAAGCAAAGGTCTTGGCGTGGCTGGGCAGTTTGGGTTTACATAATTTTATTTATACATTCATAACAAAGGGGAGGGGTTTTAAGTGCAGGTCACTTCTGACCTACTCACCTGACCCTTCCAACACCTGCTCTGCAGCTTTATTCTGAACCAGCTTCACGAGGACTGGCACTTGTTGGGGTAACAGACACCTCAAGGGACTGACGAGTGTTTGTTTGGGATGCTCCCTTGTGTCCAGGCCCTCAGCTACCTCAGGTTTCTCCTCCCAGGTTGCCAATCAGGTCTTGTATTTCTGTTTCTTTAAAAAAAAAAAAAAAAAAAAAAAAATCAAAATCAAAAGGGCTTTCCTGCCAGGGCTTTCCTGCCAGCCCACCCTGGCAGTGCAGGGGTGCACTCTCAGCTCCGTGCACGCACAGCTGTTTTCCAGTCAGCCTCACTCAAACAACTCCAGCCAAGTTTCCTGACAAGTCAGTTTTCCTCTCCTCTCTGCCTCCAAAATAAATTCCCTCACATCCCAGGAAAGGTGCTGCCACAGGCTTGGGAAGGGAGGGAGAGGCAGCATCAGGAGTTTCTTGTGGCACCTGGAGCACAGGTGTCACACTCCCCTGACCAGCCAGAGCTGCATTAACCCTGTGGGGTTAATCCCTGTGGGGATTAAAACAGATCCTGGCACTCTCCTCAGCTCAAAAGATTCACAGAATCCTTAAGGCTGGAAAAGACCTCGAAGGTCTTCGAGTCCAACTGTTAACCCAGCACTGCTTTTCCCTAATTTCAGCAGGATCAGCTGGGAAAGCAAAAGCCAGCTGCATGTACACGCTTCAAGGATCAGCAATCAGATTGTTGGCACCCAGAATTGTCCTCTTGCATGGTTCACTCCATTCTCACCTTCAGCAGAATGGCTGTGCCTTTGCTCCTGGGAAAGCCACTTATTTTCGAGCTATTCCTCTAAAATTGCTTGAGCAAGACTCCCTCCTTTCTTTTTTTTCTTTCTTTCTTTCTTTCTTTCTTTCTTTCTTTCTTTCTTTCTTTCTTTCTTTCTTTCTTTCTTTCTTTCTTTCTCTCTTTCTCTCTTTCTTTCTTTCTCTCTTTCTTTCTTTCTTTCTTGTAAGCAGGAACTTTAAAAAGAAGGTTTTTGGAAAAGGATATTTTGGCAACAAACCTTTCAGTTTAGTGCTTGGCAGGCACAAAGCATTTAAGCTTTGAAAAATAAAAATTTGTTCAGAGCTTTGGGGTTTTGCTATTCTTTTGGCCTTTCTAAATTAAAGTGCAGGTTGGTGCTGTGAGTGGGGAGGTTCTGACACACACACGCCAAAAAAACCCAAACCCTCAACCCTCAAGAATTTCCAATGATCTCTGCATAAAAAGATCTGAATCCAAGTCCAAATTCCCAGGAGGACCACACATGGATTCATGGAGTGATTTCCCCTGAATGACAGCTCCCAGGTAGCATTGAAGGCTGTTGGAATCATGGAATGGTTTGGAAAGGACCTTAAAACTCTTCCTATTCTCCTCCTTGCCATGGGCAGGGACACCTTCCACTGGACCAGGTTGCTCCAAGCCCTGTCCAGCCCGGCCTGGAACACTCCCAAGGATGCAGGGGCACCCTGTTTGAGGGTGGAAGGGAATTCATTGTTCCAAACAATAACCGCCTATTTGTGGTGTTTTATTTTCAGTCCATCCAAGGAGAGATGCTCCTGGTGAGTGTTCTGTGCACAAACAGATGCTCCCAGTGAGACATCCTGTCCACCAGCTGGGTCCAGCAAAGGAAACTGTCTGTGCAGGAATGAAATGGGTGCCTGTGCCACAAAGGCCTCGGCAAACAGGTGCCTTGAGCACACAGCCTGGAGCCAACGCTCCTGTTATCCCTTGGCCTGTGGTGTATAAAGCAGGGTAACAACCTCTTTAAAACCACGTCCTGCATCCCTCTCAGCAGCCCTGCACAACCTGCAGCCAGTCTCCTGACCTGGACCCTGCAATGGCTTTGCTTCCAAATTCATTTGCTCCATGGGACGAAAACAAAAAGAAAAAAGCAGAGAGGTAACAAGAGAAACGGAGCATTTGGCAAATGTGTATTGAACTTCACACAACAAACTCATTAGCTCAGGCGGCCCCGTCTCTATGGCAACCAAACAGCACAAAAACAAGGCATTAACACCTAAATTTATTAGTGGGCAAGTGCTTAGCTTTTATCATTCCAGGGGTGTATTCCCCTCCGCAGCTCGCTGGGATTCCCGAGGAAGACGGTTCTGGTTCAAATGGCAACATAAACATCAGAACACCATTTACAGACAGAGGAGCTGGAGCTTTCGGAGTTTCAATCACAGTTTGAAAAACGACAAAACAAAACCGAGGAAAAGAGGCTGTGTGTAGGGGAGTTACCCAATTTCCACTTTGCTTTGCAAAATTGTTAAAGGTTTGCAAGTCATGGGTGAGGGGCGAGAAATGTTTTCCATCTTATCCTAACAGCTCCGTGAGGATCTTCATCAGGAGTAGGAATGGGGGCTATAAGCTGGTTCTCCCAAAATAATTTCCAAGTGCCCTGCCTTTATTTTAAGTGGATGTTACAAGCCCTAGGAAAATGTGTAACCCAGTCTCCACTGTGCCACAAGGCTCCAGGTCATGCCACAGGCTCTGGGGGAGGAGTGGGACTGTTTGGATTTGTTCCAGGAATACACAAGGGCTTGGGCGTAAAGATGCTGGAAAGCCACATTTAAATGCTTCCCATTTAAAGCATCTTTCCATTCCGAGGGCCCTGGGTGAATTCCAGCGACCCCAAGAGCTCAGACCATGCTGGGACAGCTTGGAGAAGATAACAAGGTGTCAGATCTATCTCTGCAGGTCGGAGTGAGGCAAAAGAACAAAGGATGTGTCTCAGCCCAAGGCACACTTGAAGCTGTGCTGGGGCTAACAATGCTCTTCACATTTCCCTAAGTGCTCACTGAACTTCTTTTTTCATCTTTGCTCCAGGGTTTAGAACAACCTTCAGTAGGAGTAAGGATCTGGCTTTCTTGGGGTGGATAGTCTTAAAGAACTTAATCCTGCTCACTGTCAGAGAGAGGAAATCTCTGCCCAGAGCAGCTGTGGCTGTCCCTGGATCCCTGGCAGTGTCCAAGACCAGGTTGGATGGAGCTTGGAGCACCGTGGGAGAGTGGAAGGTGTCCCTGCCCATGGAAGGGGGTGGCACAGGATGAGCTTTGAGGTCCTTTTCAATCCAAAGCCATTCCCCCTTCCATCATGCACAGGCTGTTTCCTGGTGAGAGGCACCTTGTCCTGGGGCTAATTCAGACCTAATCACTAAACATTGTGTCTCCACACAATGACAGCAAGAGAATCCAGGCTACACACTCAGGAAAAACCTTTAGTGGGAAAAGCAACACCGCACCAGGAGACGATGTCTTAAAAAAATGTCAAACCCATCTTCTCCTCCAGCATCCCTCAGGTGGAGTCAAAAGAGCACCTCTGCTGCCACCAAGCACAGATTTAACCCATCACAATGCAGAAGGTCTGATGGCAAATTACTTGTCACCTGATTTCAGCCATGTGACAGCAAGTGCTGCACAGGGTAGTGCAGCACTCACCACGCTGCCATTAGCAGCAGCACAGCCCAGCACCAATATCCATCCCGTGTCCTCAGGCAGCACCTCCTCCTGCAAGCACACTGCTAGCATTCCAGCTGACCAGGGCCCTTCAGGCAGGTTGCAAGAAAGCAAATTAACAGGTTGAAACCCTGACAATTTTGTTCTGAAAAAGGGTCGCTGAGGATCTCACAAGTCCCTGACTGGCTGGCTTGCTATCAGCTCAAAGGCATTTCAAGAACATTAGCACTGGTGCCAGAAATATCTGGGCTCATCCCTGCGGCAAAACAGCGGCAGGAGGAGGAGAAGGATGGGATGTAATGGCAGTGTCTGAACAGGCAGAGGGATGGGGGAGCAGAGATGTTTGGGGGGTGGTTTTTTGGGGTGCCTCCACCACTGGGAGGAGTAAACAAAAGAGTTTTAAAGTCTGCTGTCAGCCAGAACTAACTCTGTCACCATGACAACCCAGTGGTTCATAGCTGGACTCTTAGAGGTCTTTCCCCAATGATTCCACATTTACCTCTGGCAATAGATCTCAGCACACAGCAGCAAAGCCAACTCAAAAGAAACCACCAGCACGCCCAGTCCCCTACAAAAGGCACTACAAAAGTACTTGCTGACATCATGCCCAGCTCACCAGTGGTTTTCCTCTGCTGGAAATTTTGTTTGCCGTCTCCAGTCTCAGCTTACAGTCTTTTCAAAATGAGGGGCTTTGGGGTTTTACCAGTGAAATCATTGCTGTGGAACAAAATTCAGTAATCAGAACAACATTCAGCAATCAGAACAACAATCAGCAATTGTAACAAGAACCATACCTGCAAGCTTCAGTACAAACCCAGCTCCAGATGGACCTGGAATAAGATCTCTCACAACCCTCTTTCACAGCATTCACCATTTTACTTTTGGGTTTGATGTCTAAATTAAGTGTTTAGAGGCCTCCATGCTGAGTCCTGGGGGCTTCTTCCCCCAAAGCTCTCCTGGCTGACATACCCTTGGGTTGAGGTGGATGCTCTGCTCCTGGTCCCTGTAGCACAGACCAGCTCTGACTGCTCTTGTCAAGCACAGCAGCATTTCTGGGCATGGGGGCAAATGGGTTTGAGCTGAAGGAGGGCAAATATTAGAAGGGATACTGGGAAGAAATCCTTCCCTGTGAGGGTGGGGAGGCCCTGCAGGGTGCACAGAGAAGCTGTGGCCACCCTGGATCCCTGGAAGTGTCCAAGGCCAGGTTGGACACTGGGGCTTGGAGCCGCCTGGGAATAGCAGAAGGTGTCCCTGTCCATGGCAGGGGGTGGGACGAGATGAGCTTTGAGGTCCCTTCCAACCAAACAATTCTGTGATCTGACCCCTAAAATTCACACCTCCAGACCTCTGTTCTGATGGGCAAAGGCACCCTGGGACAGATGCAGATCCTGGGAAGCAGCTTCTGGTCGTTGCTGCCCTCACTGCACACACAGAGCTGCAGATTGTGCAATAGCTCTGAGAAGCCACCCAGGCCCTGTGGAGCCGGTGCCAGGCTGAATGCATTAGCTGTGCTAGGAACAAATGAATGAAGCAAAGCCAGTTTTGTTTTGTGCTGGGGGCAGAGGAGCGAGGCGCGGAGCGGCAAAGAGGCGGAGCGCAGTGACACCGCTATCCCGAGTGTGACAGCCCAGCCTGGATGCAGCCACACACGACCCACAGGTGCCCAGATCCAGACCTGGAGGCTGTGGCTGCTGGAGCAGTGTTTATTTTAGCCCTGCTTCCCTCGTGCGTGTTCCCAGCAGGAGGGGATGTAAACTGGCTCAGCCATGCCTGCCCAGCCCTCCATCCTCTGCCATGTGCCAAAACTCTTCTGCTCACACTCTGCGAGGTCACATTTCTTGGCAGAGAGCTCGGCTCCTTCTCCCCTCTCCCTTCCCCCATGCTCCTGGTGAAATATGAAAACAGCCTGCCACCTGCCATTTGCCTGGCCTGCTTCTCTCTGTGTGCCAAAAATTAGCAACATACCCCAAAATGTAATTGGAAACACTGCACTGCACTGCAGGGGTCCCTTTGCTGTTGCATAGAAGAGGCTTGACAAAAAGCCAATTTAATTTCTAGATTCCCCGGGCTGCATGTAGCCACTAAGTGAGGAGGTAAAAAAAAAAAACCAAACAAAAAAAAAAAAAAAAAAACCTTTTATCAGGCCAATTCACATTAGTAGATTCAGATCTTTTAACGAGCCATGCTGTAGGAATCAGCAAGCTGTCACTGCCAGCAGATTTAGGGCATCATTTCTTGGAATTGGAGCCGTGTGGGAGGTCAGGAGTTAGAAGTCGGCATTCCCAAACTTCAGAGCCGGGAGCTTGGGTGTGCAGGGCAGAGCTGAGGGGGGCAGAGGATTCCTGAGGGCTGACATTAACCCCGGGAAGGAAACTGCCCCGCTCCCCCTCCTCCCCAGCAGAACTTGCGCAAGTCCCAGAGGATCCTTGCAGGAGGGATCTGGAGATGCTCCCGCACCTCCACGCTCAGGGCAGCTCTGACAGCGGAGCACAGCACCACTGATGCTGCCCAGGCTGCAGGCCAGCCCTGCAGAGCTAGCAGTTATCTCCTTTTCGCAGCAAAAGGGCAGGACAGGCGAGCAAGAAAATATAGGGCGCCTCATTCACACCACGCCTTGGCAGAGAGCTCAGCCAGCAGATTTGTGAAACTGAAAAGCAACATTTCACCCCAAAAGAGCTGTTTACATTGTCAGGGTTGACTTGCCAGGCTTAGGAAAGAGCTGTGCCAAACTGGCTTATTATTATCTCCCTTCCCCAAAATACTCAGGACCTGCTCCTTTACGGGATGTCTGTATCCATGGAGCTGTGCTGAAATCCATGTGCCTCGGGGGCACCTGTGCACACAGACACAGGAAACTCAGCCACTCTGACAGCAATAAAGATGGATTTTGGGAAGGAGTTGTTCCCTGGAAGAGTGGACAGGCCCTGGCACAGGGTGCCCACAGAAGCTGTGGCTGAGCCTGGATCCCTGGAAGTGTCCAAGGCCAGGCTTGGAGCAGCCTGGGACAGTGGAAGGCATCCCTGCCCATGGCAGGGGTGGGATGGATGAACTTTAGGGTCCCTTTCAACCCAAACCACCCTGGGATTCTGTGAAATTACTTGCCAGGCTGGAGCCAAAGCCTCACTGACCTCGTGTTTCCCGTAGAATTTTGCTCCCACTTCGACCTTATACCAAGGCTGTACAGCACACTCAGGAGATCCAAACAGGAACAATCCTTCCATCTGCTCTTAGGGAGAAAAGTGCTTAAACCCAAATCACAGCACTATTAAATACTTCCCCAAATCCTCCCTGGCCAGGTTCCTTGGAGAAGATGCACAGGGATGCTTGGATCAGGCACCCTGGGGACACTCAGGTGTGGCTAAGGCCCAAACAGGACTCTGGGACAATGGAATGCCTCTGGGGATGGAGTCTCCCAGCCCATCTCACAGAATCACAACATCCTGGGTGGAAGGAACCCACCAGGATCATGGAGTCCAAGCCCTGGCCCTGCAGAGGGCAGTGCCCAGAATCCCACCCTGTGCCTGAGAATGCTGTGTTTGGGACTGGGACTGGGATTCCCAAACCCCATCATGGATCTGCTGCGTGTGACTTATGGGCTGCCTTAATTGCAGCCTCAGAAAGGCAAGGCAAGAGGGAGCCCTGAGGAAACTCCACATTCCTTTTCATCAGGCTGATTACTGAATAGGCTTTCATAGATCAGGGAATGAAGAATTTGGTTAAGTCTAAATAACTGCTTTGAAATTCTTCAAAATTAGATTATTTTATTTGTCTATAGCAAGCATACTATGGAATACTAGGGAGATGACCCCACGTTTCCAAAAATTAAAACAAAAAAAAGTCATCACAAAATCCACAGCTGCTCCCCATTTGCAATAAGCTGTTTAAAACAAAATAAACCAATACATTTTGCTCCAAGAAACATGCATTAGGCACTGGCAGCTTGCTTCCCTCATTCCTCTATCCCCAAACACTTTGAATGGAAGGAGGGGGAAACCTTGAAGTGATACATATGTGAGAAGCCCTGAGAACAATAGCTGCTCCCCAGTTGACTCCAGAGTTGTTATTAAACTCGAGGTTCCCGTGCTAGAGGAGCACAGCTGGAGCAGCACCAACACCAGGCTCTGAGAACACCAGCAAAAGTCAGATTTCCACCTACAAATTCCTGGAAGTTTGCAGCCCAAAGAGCAAAACACACAGATTCATGTGGGCAGGCTCAGAGGGATGGCATCCTGGAAACCTCCCCTCCAAGAGCAAAATATCAGCAGGCTAATCCTCAGATCAAGAGGGGCAGGATCCTGCTTGGAGCCCAAGGTCACCACTGTGTTTTTAAATTGAATTTTACTCACAGAGGTGCAGTCAGTACAAAGAGGCTACAGGAGGTTTGTCACACCACGATGTCTGGACATGGCAGCTCAGTCCCTGGATGTGTCAAGGCGGGGAGAAGAAGCTGAGTGCTGCTCTTTGCAACCAGCTCACAGATCTTGTTCCTCGTGAAAATGAGGGGAAGACTTGGAGGGTGCATAGTGCACTGGGGGTGGCTCTGAGGATCCCTTTTTCTAGGCTTTGGGAGAAGAGGCTTCTCTTGACACCCACAGCTGTAAGTGTGTGCAGCCGCTCCCTCTGATTCCCCAGACACGGAGCTGGCCCATGGGAGATAATGCCATGAAAGTTTTCTCAGAGTTTAAAAGCTCAGAGATGCCTCTGAAGCACTGCCTTCAAATGGAGCCTTCACCAGGGGAAACCTTGAGGAAGAATGAGCAGCCCAGTCCACTGTCCAAGAGAGCCTCACCCTGGGCAAAAAACAGAGATGAGGAAAGAGCTGAGGGAGGACAAAACCACTCTGTTCAAAATCAGATCTTCAGGCATCAAGGACAAAACCACTCTGTTCAAAATCAGATCTTCAGGCATCAAGGACTCAGAAAAGCAGGTGAAGGAAGGTTTCAAAGGCTGCCAGAGACACTCGTACCCCCCAGCAGGCTTCTGTGCCCACATTAATCTCCTTTCTGCAGAGGACACACAAAGGGGACGTTTCACGGCATTCATAGCAGACCTTACCTGAGTTATGCATCAAATACCTCTCCACTGCCCCTGGATCCCAGTCCCTGATTCCCAGAGACCCCTGATAAACTCCCAGCCCTGCATTAACGACTCCAAGCTCAGCAGCAGGATCTCTCCATCCAACACAGCAATGCCCCCACTCCAAGATTTCCCTGAAGGCACATTGCTGTGAGTCACCTCTTCTCCAACCTGATGTTCCTAGAAAGGCTGGGGAAGGGACCTTAACATTCCAGCCCCCTGCCATGGGGTGGGACACCTCCCACTATTCCAGGTTGTTCTAAACCCCATCCATCCTGGCCTTGGACACTTCCAGGACAGGACACTTCCCAGAAAGTTTCAAATGTAAGGAACCATGAAGGGTTCTCCACTGAGTGCCGGGATGCTAACAAAGCTGTCCAGGAAACTTTTCATCCCAGCTGTTCTGGATTTGGGTCCTTTGCTGGTCCAGTCTGACCTGTGAAACAGAGACCCAGGCTTGGCATCTGCCACTCTGCTGTTTGTCACAGGCAAGTGGAAGTATTTGGAATTTAGAGTGGGGATAAAATGATCCCTCAGCATTCCTGCACAATGACAAAGTTGAGCTCTGCCCCCTCCCTCTCCACAGGCTCTCAGAGCCTGTGGTTTGCAAACAGCCTGGTGACAACACTGCTGTGTAACATACAGGGTATTATGAGTCAATTAAGAATTTATTAAGAGAGGGTCCAGAGGAGGTACTGACCTGGATCCAGCTGTTGCACTCTTCTGGGGGAAGAAGTCAACTGGAGCTTTCAGACCTTCCACAGAGAGACCATGAGCAAACACTCCAATCAAACAGGAGGACTTGTTGTCGCACAAAACCCCTCTCCCTTCCAGCTGTGCTCCAGCTCCTCAAGTGCATCCCATCCTTTGCTGCTAAGCACATCCCATACACAAAAGCTCATTGCAGTCTGTGATCATTCTAAAGGGGTCACCCAAGACCTGAAATGGCTGAAGCCAAGGTGTGAACAATAGAAATCAGCTGCCAGGACCAGACTGTAAATCATCTGAGACCTCTGATGGAGCCCAAACGGGAAAATCTTTTGAGTTTTGCTGCTTAGGTTGAATCAAAAACATTTAAAGTGGCAAATGCAACATCTGCAGGGAGCTTCCCTGCAGAGGTTGCCCAGAGCAGCTGTGGCTGCCCCTGGATCCCTGGCAGTGTCCAAGGCCGGACTGGACAGTGGGGTTTGAAGGAGCCTGGAACAGTGGAAGGTGTCCCTGTCCATGGCAGGGATTGGCACAGGATGAGCTTTGAGGTCCCTTCCAACCCAAACCATGATTTGATTCTGGGCAAGGTCTGCAGGCAATGCTCTCTTCTTCCCACTGCCCTCACTCCTGCAGCTGAGCTCTGAAATCTGGAGAGGACTCTGTGCCTTCCCTGATGGCTGTGCAGCATGTGGCACAGGACTTTCCCTGAGCTGGACAACCTTCTGCTTGGAACTGTTCCGGAGACCCTGGAGCAGGGTGATGCTTCTGCTGATGGAGAAGGTGACCTTGAGAGGCTCAGAGCTGACTTTAGGTACCACAGGTACCTGTGGTCCTGCCACCCTAAACCTGCCAGAAGTCAAAAATCCCAGGAGCTCTGCTTCCAGTGAGAGCAAGAACCTTTTCATCCGGCATCCCAGCAAAGCTGCTTTCACAGGAAGCCTTGCCAGGCCTTCTGCAACATTTCCTCCAGCCAGGCCTGTCCCCTGCCTTCCCCAGGAAGGAACATTTTGTTCGAAGACAGCTAATGACCCATTTACATTTGCCTATAAAACGATGTTTGTCCCTCCCCTCCCGCCTCTCAGCTGCTGCTGCTGGCCTGCAGATCCTGTCAGGGCTAATTACGTTGGCTTTTCTGTGGAGGGAGTTTTCCCTCTTGCCATGTGTTTTCTGTTCAGGGCATAGCACAGTTTCAACAGGTTTTTGAAGCTGTTGTTGTTGTTGTTCCTGACAAGAGCTGCAGTTATGAAACGCATCCTCACAGCCCCGCCGAGGCCCCAGCCAAGGCAGAACCGGCTCCCTCTGACGCAGGAGCAAATTGAGACCATTTGGTACTGGGGGGCACTGGACATCTCATTCCATCTGCAAGGGAGCTGCGAGAAGGGCTGAGCTTCTCTTCCCTCCCCTCCCTTTCAGTACATTCATTTATCCCTGCCGAAATGCGCCATTTCCCTTCCAGTCTCCCATCTTCCCTAATTCTAACCACATGCCGTCAGGGCAGACATGTCAGGAAAACCACCTGCCCACCTGCCCACCTGCCCATTTCGCCCAGCAGATACCTGGGAGAATCCTGGAGCCCTGGGGACACGACGCTGTCCCTCGCACCCTTTTGCCGGGGGTGAAGCTCCCGGTACGGCAGAGCAGCCCAGGCCAAGCCCGGCAGGGAGCTGGAGAAGGATCCCAGGAGGTGCTGCAGGAGCCGAGCTCTGCAGGAGAGCAGCCCGGGCAGGAGCTGGGCCCTGCCAGCGGGGCCTCCTCCCCATGCTGACGGGCCCAGCCGCGGCTGCTGTGGGCTGGCCGGGCACTCCTTTCTCCCCCAGGCCGCTCCCCGAGGTGGCAGCAGCTCGTTTGTCAGGAGAGGGGCCGGCAGCAGCCGGGGAGGTGGCAGAGCAGGAGCACAGCTGTGCTCTGGCAGCCTCACACCACGCAGCCCCACGGGCCCAGCGCCATGGAGGCCGCACGGGACATCCACTGGGGCGGGCAGGCAGAGCGCACCTGACAGAAGGGAACACAAGGGACACAAGGGACGCTCCGGGTGGAGCACAGTGCCAGCACAAAGCACCCCACAGGCTGCAGAAGGTGACAGGGTCAATCAGCAGTTTCCTCGCTACCCTGGCACAAGGGATGGCAGCACAGCCTCCCCTCCGCTCCCTGCCGCTTAGGGCACCTCAGGGCATCGGCTGCCCCTGAAGAGAGGCTGCTCCCTTGGGATCCCCTCCCAGCCGGCTTGGATCACAGCGGCCTTGTGCAGCCCTCAGCACTGCAGAGCTCAGAGCTGCTCCTGGAGACCCGGACACTACGGACCGACCCCGAGGAGCCCTTGCAGCCCACAGGGGTGCAGGCACTGGTGTGTTACAGGAGACCCTGTTTTACCACTCAGGGAGTGGTAGCAGCAGCACCTTCACACCTCTTGGCCTTGTCTGGAGACACCAGTGCAAAGGCTGGATTATAAATCATTTTCACATGTTAATCCAGTTGGTTTTGCCAGGGAAGAAGGGAAATAAGGGAGTACATGTATCATATCTTTGAACACTGCATAATGACTTCAGATTAAAAGGAAGTAACTTAAATTGGATTTTGGGAAGAAACTGTCCCGTGTGAGGGTGGTAAGTTACTGGCACTGCCCAGAGCAGCTGTGGCTGCCCCTGGATCCCTGGAAGTGTCCAAGGCCAGGTTGGACACTGGGGCTTGGGATAGTGGAAGTTGTCCCTGCCCATGGCAGGGGGTGGAATGAGATGGACTTTGAAGTCCCTCCCAACCCAAACCATTGAGAGGTTCTTTGTTTCTATGACAAAAGAGATCCAGGAGCCCTCCCCTTTCAGGCAGGGTCTGGATCTGCCTGTCCCTGCCTCCTGCCACGGATGGGAGCAGCTTTCCCTGGACAAAGTTCTCCAAGGATGCCCACTAGCACAGCTGCCCTGCTCTCCCTCAGCCGGGAAGCCAGCCTGGCATTTCAGTGGAAGGCTCATTAAGGAGGAGGCAGAGTTAAGTGACAAAGCAATCAGGCTTATCAAGGTCCAGCTCAGGCTTTGGGAGGAAATGCAGCCGCCAGAGCACATGCCAATATTGTTAATGCCTTTTGGGGCTGCATCTGAGACTGGGTTTGTTTTGGCAGCTGCAAAGCCTGATATAAAAGCATGTCCTTGCTGCACAGACCAGCTGAGAGAGCCAAGGCTGCTGAGCAGGGCAGCACAGGGATGCTCCAGCAGCAGAACCTGAGCCTCACCTGGCAGGAATCCACCTGGCTCCAGCCAATCCATTCACACCAACAGAGCAGCTGGACTTTGTTTGTTTGTTTGTTTGTCATCTCCTTGGGGCTTCTCCTGCTGAATCTCCAGAATGGTGGGGGTTAGATGCCACAGTGCCACATGGCTGTCATCAGACCATGTCCTGCAGCAGTTCAGCAAGTTGTGACAGGCTCTCCTGAAGCCAAATCTTCCTTACAGCTTCAGGATGGCTTCCTCAGGTTGGATACCCCCAAAACTCAGGAGGGGTCAGGCAGTTCAAACAGTTCCAAGAGCAGAAACTGGGAAATGAGAGGTCTCTGTCAACAACAATGCCAGCGGGTTTTTCCCCCTCTCCTGGCACTTCTTCCGCAAAAAACATGGGTTTAGAGGGCTAAAACCAGAACTAAGGGAGTCTCTCTCCTGGTTCATGGGCAGTGGGTGACAGTGACTCCTTGATTAATCAGTACAATGAGGGATTTGGGTTGATAACCAAACCTGAAGCACATTTGCACCCTGCAGGCCAGAGAGGGACGGCTACAGCTCATGTCAGCAATGGCATCCCAAAGGTGTCATCCTCAGCAGGATAATGGATCACAGGATGCTTTGCATTGGAAGGCACCTGAACCTTCTCTGATGCCACTTGAGGCCGTTCCCTCTCCTCCTGTCCCTGTTCCCTGGGAGCACAGCCCAACCCCCCGCGGCTGTCCCCTCCTGTCAGGAGTTGTGCAGAGCCACAAGGGCCTCCCTGAGCTTCCTTTTCTCCAGGCTGAGCCCCTTTCCCAGCCGCTCCCCATCAGCTTTGAGCATCTCGAGATTTCTTATTTCAGTAGCGGAGCTGAGATCGCACCCACCGTGCTGCCATTGGTCGCTCTCTCCGGCTCCCCCCACTTTTCCTCCTGCCGCCCCCACTTCATTCCACATTTTTCACATTTCTGGGGATTGTTTTTCACCTCCCAGCGCTTTCTGGAGTGCGCCCAACAGAAATAAACGCAGCCTGACCATCGCTGGTGGGGCGAGGGGCAGGGGTTACACTTTCGGTAAATTTAGCCCCTCACTGACAGATTTATCTTCCTGAATCAGAACCAAGGGTAGTTAGCGAGGTTTGTTTTTGTAGACTGAACTTCCCCAAAGTCAGCGCGCACTCACCTCCTCCTCCTTCTCTCCCTCCCTCCCTCCCTCCCCAATTACATAAATGCTTTTAGTTAAGAGCTGATTTCCTGGAGTGTGTGCCAGTGCTCTCTCCAAGCAAACAAAGCAAAGACGACACTGAAAAGAGCCCGCGTTTGTCATTGAAAAGGAAGGTTATCCTCACAAAAGGTGAGGAACGAGGTGTCAAAGGGTCTCTTCCCCGTTTCTCCTCCTTCATTTGCGCACGGGAGATAAAGCACAGCCGGGGAGCACCTTCCCAGCCCGGAAACTCGGGTTTGCCCCCGCAGACCGAGGTTTGGCCAGAAACTTAAACACACCTCTCATTCGGCAGGGGAGCCGGCAGATCCATCAGCGCTTCCCTTCCATCGCGGCTGCTCGCTCCCGTCCTTTCCTCACCCCGCATTCCCAGGCTGGCACCAAAGCATCCCGTCCTGCCGCAGCTCGGACCAGCACAGGGGCTAAGCCGGCTTTGGCTCCACCGTCCTGTCCCGGGAACAGTTCGGAGGATGTGTGGTTGAAGAGGCTTTGTGGGCATCTTCCCTGGCGGGGCTCCTCCTCTGCATCTCTCCACGGTCTTGCTTTAACATTCCCCTTTCCTTTTCCTTGCCACCACGCCACTAATTAAGAACATCCCCAGCACGTGCCAGCATGGAATGTGTTGTAATGACCATTTATTTTCTTCTGTTTCAGCTTAAACAACTGCTTTTACTGAGCTCAGATGTTTTGCCAGCAATTAGGAGCCACGATGGGTTTTGGGAAGAAATTCCTCCCTTGAGTGTGGGCAGGCCCTGGAACAGGGTGCCCAGAGAAGCTGTGGCTGCCCCTGGATCCCTGAAAGTGTCCAAGGCCAGGTTGGACATTTGGGCTTGGAGCACTTTGGGACAGTGGAAGATGTCCCTGCCCATGGCAAGGGTGGAATGAGATGAGCTTTAAGGTCCTTCCCAATGCAAACCATTCAGTGGTTCTTTGTTTCTATGACAAAGGAGATCCAGGAGCCCTCCCTTTTCAGGCAGGGTCTGGATCCGCTGTCCCTGCCTCCTGCCATGGATAGGAGCAGCTTTCCTTGGACTAAGCTCTCAAAGGATGTCCACTCTCAGCCCCAGCAGCCCGGGAGAAGCCCCACACATCCCATGGCACAGACAAATTTCAGTGGAGTTGGGTTTCCATCACAATCCCATTAACACTTTTCCCCCACTGGTGCAATAAGGATGAATCCTTCTGTTCCCTGGTCAGAAGTCAGCCCTGAGGCATTGCTGAAGTACCGCGAGCTGAGCTGGGCAGAAAGGAGAGAAATTCCCTCTGCTAAGAGAAATTGCAGGAGAGGGAGGCAGCAAGGCAGAGGGGAGAGGTGCACTGACACATTTTGTGGATTAGAACAGGCTGAGATGGAGTCCCGACACATCCCTGATCCACTTCTCCCCCACCTGGACACAGGTGCTGTTGTCTAGAGGGTGAGCTGGGAAAATAAATTTCAGTTTCCTTTTTTTTTTTTTTTTTTCCTTTTCCTTCAGATGAAAATTCCCCTCATTTCCCCTCAAAAGCGAGCACACGTGGGACTATTTTTACCCAGGTTTATTTTTAGCTCCTCTTGCCTGCGTTGCCTCTCACATGGCTGCACGGGGAAGGATGGCAGCGGCTGCAAGGACACGTTCTCCCCCTACAGCACAGCAGGGCTGGGGGCAAACACGCCCGCAGTAATTACAGCACAGCCTCGTTAATCAACCACTGCTCCCAGCCTCGCTCAGAGTGCAGCAAGCTCGATCCCATCCAACACTGCTGCCCACGCTGCCCCCATTGCAGGGATATCCCCTCCCAAACGTCCCCGTCCCGCCGGTGCTGCCCAGGGGACCCAGTCCCTCCTGTTCGTCCCTCTGCTGGAGTCACAGCTCGGCCACGGGAAGGCAATCGGGGGCTGGAGCAAGCCCTGGGATTCGGCTGGGAGCCAAACCCTGGACAGCCACCAGCAGGGCAGGAATTGGGGCACTGCGAGGCCCCTCTGGGACAGGGTTTTCTGTGCCTGGCCCTGCCTTCAGAGGAAAGCCTGACAGGCAGGCAACTGGGAAAAGGGGGTTGGGATGCTCAGGAGCTGCTGTGACCAGGGAGAAGGCTCTGGGTGCTGGCCCAGAGGAGGCTGCAGGACACTGGATGTGTTTGGTTGGGATCAGCAACATACAAAGGCGTGGTTTCCACTCTTTAGGGGAATTCACAAAGCCTGAGCCTCCTGGGTGGTTTTTCCCAGAGGGGAATCCCTGCTGCCAGCAGCAGACTAACCTGCCCACGGCCTGTGTGCCCCACCCAGCAGCAGCTGAGCTGGGACAGCCCTGCCACTTCGGGCATGGAGGGCAGAGGGGAGGCACGGGAGGCTGGATCCTGCTCAGGAGACTCTCGTGTCCCACTGCTGCCTCTCTCTCACCCTGCCACCAGCTTCCAGAGCATCTTCCCAGGGCCTCTGCTGACTTCCAGAAGGGAAAGCACAGCCTCTCCATGGCACCAGCCCTCTCCATCCTGGATCACAGTGTGCCATGGTGCCCACAGTGTTGTGCTGCCTGTGCCAGGCTGCAGCAGGCACTGGCAGGTCCCCCGTTACCATGGCAATGCTGCCAAGGTTCACATCTTTTCCTGAATCCCGATTTATCCTGCTGCTTTATTCCCCCCCCCCCCCCCCCCCCCCGACTCTCCACACCTCAGAAAGGGTCAGGATGCAGCTCTGCCGTCAGGGCTGTGGTCACATTGCATTAAGTCCTTGCTCAGGAGTAGCAGCCTTGGATCTCCTATCAGCACAGAGGGAAACTGGGGAGCAGATGCTGATAAATCCTCTGCTGTCTCTTCTCATTAGACTTAGTCACAGGGAAAAACCCAGAAGGCCTGAAACGTTTTTGTTAAGTGACAGGGATTTTTTTCCTGGTCATTATTTTAAACGAAAAGCTCCCCGTGCAGAGGGGACAGCTGTGGATGCAGATCCTTGTCAGTGCTGGTGACCCCATACACATGGCCTTGCCCTGGGCATCCAGCCCATCCCGGTGTCCAGCACCAGCCACCTGGGCAAGCGGGAGCCTCCCCTGGAACATCTCCCTGGGCCCACGCTCCCTCTCCAGCCATGTGCTGTTCTATGGAATCACAGATCATTAGGGCTGCAGGAGACCTCCAAGACCCTTGAGCCCAACTCCAGCACCTGCAAGGCCACCTCCAAACTTGTCCCCAAGTGCCACATCTACACATCTTTTAAACATTTCTAGGGATGGGGACTCCACCACAGCTCTGGCCAGCCTGATTCAGTGCCTGACCACCCTTTTGGTGAAGGAATTTTTCCCTCATCTCCAATCTAAACCTCCCCTGGCACAGCTTGAGGCTGTTGTCTCTCCTCCTGTCCCTGTCCCTCGAGCAGAGTCTGACCCTCCTCCAACTGCCCCCTCCTGTGAGGAGTTGTGGAGAGCCACAAGGTCCCCCCTGAGCCTCCTTTTCTCCTGGTGGCCTCCATCCAGCTTCTCCATAGCAACATCAAGACATTCAATATAGATCCCAAAACTGCCTTCGCTAAAATGCCACCTCTCCCTACCCCAGAGAAGCATTTTCAGGGACAATCCTAGCTTGATCCCAGCCCAGAGGGTTCATTATGCAATGACAGCAGCTCACCTTTAGCTGGTATTTCCAGGCTCTTTCCTACACTGATATTGTCCCTTGTGCACCTGACTCCTTCTAGCTTGTGGTGTGATAGGACAGGAAAGAGAGACCTAAAGGAGCTTCAGAAGAGCTGGAGAGGGACTTTGGACAAGGGCATGGAGTGACAGGACAAGGGGGAATGGCCTCCCACTGCCAGAGGGCAGGGATAGATGTGATATTGGGAAGGAATTCCTCCCTGAACTAAACAGAGAGCTCAGTCACTTGGAGTGATCCCTTATCCAAGCACTGGACCCCTTGGAACAGAGGAGCTGGGGCTTGGATTGCCATCCTGCCCTGCTTGGGGTTTTTCTCCTCACTAGCCTTGATTTACAGGAGTGGCACTTGGGCTGAGGATGCTAATGAGCTGATGTTGGGACACGGTTCCAGGAAAGGCAAATCCATTTATCAAAGTGCTTACGGCTCCCAGTTCAAGATGGGTGAAGCACCAATAAATATCGAACAAAGCAAGAGACTCCGACTCCAAAGTAGC